GAAAGCTGGAAACTCAAGTGTACAGGAAGCCAACACACACTGATCAAATCCTCAACTAAAGTAGCAACAACCCAACAACATAGAAGATCAGTTGCGTGCAGACTCTATTCGAAAGAGCGAGAACACACTGCAGCACAACAGCTTCATTAAGAAACGAAGAAAATTACTTCATGTCCACCCTAAAGAAGAACGGCTACCCACGAAACTTTATCACAAGATGCCTATCCCGTGCATCACCAACCACAAAGTCATCCACAGAAATCAACAAACGCATCGTCCTACCATAAATAAAGAATATATCAGAAATCACAACAAGATTGCTGAGACCACTTGGAACTGGTGTGGCTCATAAACCAACAAATTCTCTCCAAACACTATTATGCAGACCAAAAGATGCAACAAACAAAGAAGACAAATCGAATATCATTCGCAAGATCAACTGCAATAACTGTAGTCAACACTACATTGGACAAAGCTGCCGCCCTCTTCGCCTTTGTGATTTACATGAACAGCAATTGGCTATTAAATGTTACACAGGACATTTCGTCACTCATTTCAATGCATGTGGATAACAACTATGGACATGAATTCAGTTTCGACAATGTAGAAATCTTAGACGAAGAGAGGAAACACAAAGAATGTCAAAGAATTTCTAGAAGCTTGGCATTCAGGTCAATCAGTCAGTCAGCAATCAATGGATGTATAGACATAGACCCAATGTATCATCCAATGAGAAAAGTGATAAACGATGGACAGGTCAGACTTCAAGCAGAGGAACGGCCGACTGGAAAATTTATACAGTCAGTGACACAACAATCAAAGTAAACAACTGATCACAAACCAGTTGGTCGGGGCAAGCTACTAAATCACTCACTGACGGAGAGATATTCACAGCTCACTTCATACTGAAGTTAGCGCTAAAGATGTCGTCTAAAAAGACAATGAAAGCTCCGCGGCTGAACAACTGAGCTTAGAGAACACAATACAACCGAGACCATCCGGATGAGCTACAAATATTCTCCATCATTTCAGGATTAAGATCAATTATAAGCCGCATGATATATTCTCACTAAGGTAACAAAATCGGTTATTACAAGCAAACTGAAGGTGTTTATGCCTTAACGCTATAATTCTTTTATTTATCAATGAAGTTTGTCGTTGGAATTGATCTAATAAAGGAAAATTTTAAGTGTAATATTTTAGAACAGCAAAAAAGCTAACTAAACACATTAGAGTGAGGCTTTAGTGTAAAAACTGAGTAATTAAAAGCAAATGGTTTGTAGATATCACGTTAGAAAGTTTAGATAACTTGTGCAACTTTTATTTCTTCTTCAAACAATACTAGGGGTAGTTAACTTCCAATAATCAAAAGCAAAGCTATCGCTTAGTTGTCTTCATAGCTGAAAAGTCAAATTCAGAAATGGTTTCACTATACGGATTGCGGAAGCTTAAGAAAATCTCTTCATATTCATGGAATTAATTTCTGGGATTCATGAGTTGATACCTCACAGGTTGGTTAGCGGATTTTTCAACAAATACTACATAGAACATACCTGTAACCTCATACCATCTTCTACCTAAAAATTATGAGTTGTAACATTTTATTTAAAAGAAGAGACTGCATATAATGTGAGTACCATTTGGATGCAAGGTCTTTTTACCACCACAACGACTAGGGCTCACCTGGTGCTGGCCCCCGTTCTACATGTTGTAATCGTCGAGAAGATAGCATGAAGAATGATCTGAACCGGCATTCCAGGTCACGCTCTGTCATACGTTCATGCACTAGAAGTAGGTTTCCGACAACAGACTCAAGGTCTCCTGGCCATTTGCACACACGCTCTCGTTCTGCATCTCGACCACGCTCAATATCGTATTACAGTGAGTCTAGGACACTAAGTAGTTCAGATGAATAAACGAATGGTAGGAGTAATAGTGACCATGGTGCTCGGGATAGAGATTCTGGTGGTTAACCACATTTAATGTAGACTGTTCGAGTCAATGTTATTTTACACACATTTCATGTTTATAAATATAATTGTGAAATAATTTAATTTGGTCACTATCCTTCAAGTCTCACTGTTTGTTTTTGATTATTTCATCACTAAACTAGGTGGCTTCATCAAGACGTACTTCAAACAGACTTCTTCATTAGGATTCCTTTCCGAAGTAAGCGCTGATGAGGCCAACTCTTCTGGTGATGGAATGTCTAGAAGAAAATAAATCTTTTACAGTGTAAGCTTAAAAATGACAGTTATGTATGTGACCCATTGGTCTAGACACTAAACTTCAGTATCATTAGCGTTAATGCACTAGGTTTGGCTCCATGCGTACTGCGCAAACTTTATCTTTTTTCTTTGTTGTACACTAAATTATACTGTTACTATTGAGACAGGTGCAAAATCGTATTACAAACAGTTTCTTTGTGTTATATCACCTAGTTTTACACAAAACACGTTTTGCATCATTTGCTCATACGAGTAACTTTAAAACACGATAATGAATGCATCTTTTAAACACACAAATTCACTTATGAGAAATATCACCTTAGGAATTTGACAGTAATTTACCCATTATATATGGTAAAGCTACAAAGTTCATTGTGTTACAGAGTTTTCTTTTGGCATCTACAGTAGTTCTTAAGTTGTTGATATTTCGGTTATTGGTTTATTTAATGGTGTCTGGCTAACGTGAATATGTATGTTTTTGCTTGAATCAATGGGAATTGAACAGAAATTACTTTTGAAATAATGGAGAATATTTATAGCTCAGGTGGATGGTCTTGCTTGTATTGTGTTCTCTGAGCTGGGTTGTTTAATCGTGAAGCTTTTATCGCCTTGCTAGAAGACATCATCAGCACGATTAAACAACCCAGCTCAGAAAACACAATACAACCAAGAAGTTACTTTTTCTTAGCTTTAATACATGGTTAACTCGATTCGCCAAATTAAAAAAAATTTTCTGTTTTTACTGATCTGTCAGTACGTTGTGACTGATATTGTATTTATTAGTCCTAAGTACTGTTTAATTTATTCATTTGAAGTTCTCTATGTAGTCATGAAGACAGGAGACTCCAGTGGAATGATACTTCCTGGAGATCCGTAGTGGAGTTGGAAAAGTTACCAATGAGCTTTACGAGTCACGAATAACGTGCTTCAGGAATGAATCAGATATATTCAGTTTACAGTTTTTTGATAACCAACCTCATGTTATCTAACAACTCTGATAGTTACAGTCAATGCATGCGGACAAACGCAATCACGCAATCGAATTGAATTCCGTCAGACATATATTACTGAACTGGGAAGAAATGTTGCTCAGAGATCTCATGCCTTTGATTAACTTTCCCAAGATGTAAAGAAATCGTTTATTGAGTGTTCATGTTTTTTAAAATGAAATCACTATTGTGGGATGTCTGTAAGAATTCTTATCTTTATCATAACTTCTTAGGAACTAACATTTGAAATAATTCTTGGTTATACTGTCGTAACTAAACTGGGTGCAGAAAGACGCATTTTGCTTACATTCAAACTCATTTTGATGTGGAAGTTTATGAAAAACAAGATGATTCAGTTTCATCTTATTGAAAGCTATTCCGAAGGCTTTGTTATTAGTCTCGAGCTATATGGACTTATTTAGAAAGATAAATTTCTGAAGAAAAATAATTGGTACTCATTTCATCAACAGAGATGATACTAACTGTTTATTGAAGTCGTGTTATTCGTTCTCAGTTTGTCATACACCGACAACTACGCGGAAGTTTGGGAACTTTAATAAAGCACTGGAAGACTGTGAAAAACCTTGAAGAAATTAAGGTTGGGTGGTCCTTACCTTCAAATATTTTCAGAAATGATGAAGCAAAAGCATCAAGTAAAAGGTTTAACTTGTGACTTAGTATAGTTCAGCTTATTTGATCTTAATCGTCAGTGCATAAGCATGTATGAAAATCTTCTTTCATCAAAATCTAAAAGTTGAGTTTATTAAACAATACCCCGAATATTAGCATCTATATTTGCTTAATATCTACCAGGAGGTGGAGAAGACAGAATTTGGTTAGCTTAGACAGGCTGCGGTTTTGTCGGACTAGGCATTTGTGAATAAAGATGTGCAACAAATAAATGCAGTGCAAAATATAAACAGAATAATATATGTAGGATCATTGTCTAAGTTGTCTTTCGAGGAAAACGCTAGTTGGCGATGTGAGCTATAATTTTTCAGACATGAATGAAGATAAAACAATAGACTAGGTGTGCTATTAAAGCGAATAATATTAAACATAGTACCTTAAAGTGAATTTATTCTTTCCAAATAAACCACACGAATTCCTTCTAATGAATAACTTACATTAAACGTGAAGTCTGTAGTCTCATGTTATCTGTCATTAGATTGTAAAACGACACGAATTTGTTCATAGATATTACTGACGTTTACGGCCTTGAAGCCTCCTAGTTACCATTCGTTAAGTGCTTACTAGCAATCTCTTTCGGACTCTCTTTTTTGCAGTTGGCGGTAACATTTCTACTTTTGTTCTGTTTCTGAACATAGTTTAATGCTACTTATAATTATTAAGTAGTGACTGTAGATCTTATTATACTGTCACTTGATAGTTTTGTCCAGGGTCAAAAATTCGTCACAAATGTAACATTCAATCTCTTTTAACTTTAACATATCAGTCTTTTGTCTTCTTTTTTAATGCTAATGTTTACCTTGGGTTTTATTTGCAAATTGCATATGTTAGTTATTGAACTCTTGTTTATCTTGTACCTCAAACAGTGATTACTACATATCTTTTACAGTTTATTTTTACATGCTTTTGATTGAAAATGGTTTTCATATTATCGATACCATATGGTTCTAGCGCGTTACTTTTCAAGTTTATGCTATACCATTATGCCTCAGAGAAATCCGTTACATGTAACTGGAGCGCTAGTTTTCTGAGTTGTCATGTGAAGCCTATAAAAGCATTTCAAAAATGTACCAAGAAGTTATATTATACTTACTCAAATCTGAAGTTTTTATTGGTATAAAGCTATCTTCATTGCGTGATAGTTGGGAGTGGGTTTTTTCAACAACCTGTTGGTTATCATCACAATACGGTACTATTACATTATCTTTTAGTTGGATTTTTCTCTTGTCAAATGATTGTTTTCTTGTACAAGGTGATGTTTTAGAGCGAGATATGCCAGAATTGACAGAATTTCCACTAGGAATAAGAGTTTGACTTTGTTCTGATGTTTGTGCTGTAAATGTTCACAAAATTTGAATACAGTGTGAGTGAATTTTGTAGAAATAAGGGTTAATGTTGACATATTTGTCAGGTTCGTTTTTTGAGAAGGAGAGAATTAAAAAGATTTGATAAAATAAATTTTATGAGAAGAGTAGTCTATTAAATTGTACTGTTTCACCTTTTGGTACATCAAGTAGATATAGTGATATCCAATTGTATTCTACCGCATTGATCAAGTTGTGCTCTTACATACTTGAGAGGTTGCTAATATGAATCAAAGTATAGCGTAACATTTCTACGAATTCGGTGATTACATTTCTTCAGTACATAATCAAGACATGAAGAACTAAACCAATGAATAAGAATGTTTCTGTAGAATGTATTACTTGAATTTATAACAACTACTTCCCTATTCTGAATTCGTTCTTCACGGGTGTAAAAATTTCTAACGTTTTGGATATTTGAAAATGTGGTTCAATGCTAACCTGTTCAGATTATGTGTATCAAAAATTAAAATTTAATTACACTGTATTTCAGATAACATTTCAATAGATGAAACTATCTGAAAGTGAACACAATAACAATAGACATATTTTGTCTAAGAAATGGTGTGTTCATAAAACACTTTTAAACGTACTTGGAATTCTTCTCAGAATCGAGTAGATTAAACAGGTAGTCTGAAAACTTTGTTGTTCGACTATTTTTAACAAAAATAAAAAAAATATTTTCCTATGTCGTTCCGTGACTCGATAAACTTAGGGTCATAGTCGAATAACTAGAATATCTGCTGATGCCGACAATGTCAACTGGTGTTAATTTATGATATAATGCATGTGTAAACTGAAGGTATCATCCCTGAAGATTATTCTTTCATAACAGTTCAATTTAAGTTTCCAAACCTTGTCGAATATTACCTTCATTTAACTGGAAATGTTTAAATTGCACATCTTTTGCGGGATCAAGACAGTTTGACTCATAGAATATCTTGTTGTCATATGATAATAGATGACACACACTTACTGTTGAACACAGCAAATTTCGTTGTACATGGAACTTATTTGGTATTCAATGAGAATTGTTCTACTTCCGTTGACAGATGTTGATAGTAATAGGAACCAAGTAGAATAATTAGCTTGTCTGTAGTCAGACCACCTACAGTATTATTTGATAGCTGTTGATATCTCAGCAAGAGACTAAGTTTCATTGACGTTGAAGTTTTCAGTTTTTACGATTAACAATCAATAAAAACTAATGTGACTGAATTTTTGTTAACTCTCTTCAAAACTGTAAAGTCAGATGGAATGGACTATGAATTACTTTCATTTAAATTGGTGGTTACAATGGATTTATCAAGCGGTCATCTATATTACCCAACTTAATATCGTAGTTGTCAACATCTGGATAGTTGTGGACATCTTTAGACCTACGTTTTATGAACATTTAGCATTTTCACAGTAAATAACAATGAAATTCAAGTCAAAAAATTACGATCTTTATGGTGGTAATTAGTTTGCATTGTGTTAGCATTTTTTAAGTTCATCTATTCTTCTGACTGAAGTTTATACAGGTTAGTATTTCAGTTTTGTGGACGACGTCAGTATTATCTAGAAATCTGGGGTGTTAAGTAACTGCATTTCTGGAAATTAGTTTGACACTGATAATTATAGTGAAAGTTAAATTGAACCCAAAGAATGCAGTAACACTTGAACATGATCTGATATATCTGCTAACCGAAAGGAATGAATAAATGATATCAGTATAATGTCTATATTTATCACAAAAGAAACTCACTTTTTGTAATGTTTTCAGTTAATAAAGTGGCTTCCAATAAATGATTTAATAATTTATCAATTGGTAAACAATGACTTGGATTTTCGTTGTACAATTTATTTAATTTGGGCCATTCAATATCTTGTCGTTTAAGATCAGATAAAAATTGTTCTACGATACTGCATTTTTTCCCTCTTTATCATACGTTCAACAAAGGTAAGTAAAAACAAAGTGAACTATTATGCTCATAGTAATTTTAAAACAAATAAAATACAAATGAGGATTAAAAACTATTGTATAATTTCTTGTTTACTTAATTACTGGTCAGTAGTTATTATCTTTGGTACTTTAAAATGAAACCTGAAATTAACTTTGAAATGGTGAAGAGTATTTGTAGCTCAGCCGGATGGTCTCGGTTGTATTGTGTTCTCTAAGCTGAGTTGTTCAGTCGTGGAGCTTTCATTGCCTTGCTAGACGACATCATCAATAATAACTTCAGTATGAATTGAGCTGTCAATATCTCTCCGTCAGTGAGTGATTTAGTAGCTTGCCCCGACCAACTGGTTTGCGATCAGTTGTTTCCTTCGATTTTTGTGTCATTGATTGTATAGACTTTCCTGTTGACTGTTCCTCTGCTTCACCTCTGACTTTTCTGTCGTTTGTCATTTTTCTTATTGGTTGATACATTGGGCCTATGTCTATACATCTATTGATTGCTGACTGACTGATTGACCTGAATGCCAAGCTTCTAGGAATTCTCTGACATTCTCTGTGTTTCCTCTCTCCCTCTAAGATTTCTACATTGTCGAAACTGAATTCATGTCCATAGTTGTTATCCACATGCGTTGAAATGAGTGATGAAATGTCCTGTGTAACATTTAATAGCTAATTGCTGTTCATGTAAATCACAAAGGCGAAGAGGGCAGCAGCTTTGTTCAATGTAGTGTTGACTACAGTTATTGCAGCTGGTTTTGTAAATGATGTCCGGTGTGCCTTCTTTGTTTGTTGCATCTTTTGGTCTGCATGATAGTGTTTGGAGAGAATTTGTTGGTTTATGAGCCATACCAGTTCCAAGTGGTCTCAGCAATCTTGTTGTGATTTCTGATATATTCTTTATGTATGGTAGGACGATGCGTTTGTTGATTTCTGTGGATGACTTTGTGGTTGGTGATGCACGGGATAGGCATCTTGTGATAAAGTTTTGTGGGTAGCCGTTCTTCTTTAGGATAGACTTGATATACGCAAAATGCATCCTGGGAACAATCTTAAAGTCGTATGTAACCCCTTTTAGTCGTCCTTCAACCTCTTTATCTTCGATTCCAATTTTGAGAGGTGGAATAAAATTGAAAACTCAAGGGAACAGCGATCACTCTAATTACAACACAAAATAACACTGGTTCGGATCTCACGGAGGACATTAGTTCCCTTGGAGTTGTAGATGTAGGTTGCTGACTAGTATCAAGAAGCACGCAGCCCGGGTTCACAGATTCCCGGTGATTGCCTCTTATAAACTAACAACACTGAGTTTCAACATATATGTTGAAGATTCACTTGCGGTTGATACATTAGGGATGATAAGACTACTTAACTAAAGTAGCAAAGGTGTTTGACCGTAGGCACTCCTTTGAATCGATGACCGACTTCATTTTACTGGCTTAAATCTATTGATCTTGGATAAGCTAAGTGCTCAAGTGCAGTTCTAAAACTTGGTTAGTCAGACTGTCAAACTTTCCCCCGCATCACTGCAAGAATTCCAGCATGTTCTCGACTGTTTTCAGCAAGTTACTTATCAATCAACAAGTTCTGATTACTTATTTTCTAAGGGAATGTTATTATTTTATAAATGAATGGTGTCACATCGTGGAATACTAAAAAAAATGAACTGACACTTTATAATAATGGTAAACGTTAATGAAAAATCAGCCGACCATTCAAATAAAAGATATTCAGAAATTAGTATCAAGATATTTTATGATTATCGAACCTAAACTTATTGTATATATTATCAGTAGGGGCGTTTAATAATCTCTGTTATAAAATAAGTACTTATTATGTTATCATAATTCATTCTTGTTTGAACTTGTGGTCTGACATAGTTATCTGCAAGAAAACAGATTTTCTGCATTCTAACACGAACAAGAGTAAATAAATCACAATCATTTTTAATATTACTGAACAACTCAGACACAGCTGTTTCCTTTTTTATTTGGTATCAGACAAATATTCCCTGAGAACTGGTCAACCTTCTACTACATATTTTTTTTTACAACAAAATGACATAACTGCCAGCTGAATAATGCTAATGAAGTTCAAAGTTTCTGAAAAAGCAATTTCCGCGAAGTCATTAAACTTCAGAAATTTATTTTTCTGATTCATTGGGATTTTACAATAATACTCCATTTATAATCTATTTACCCAATGCTCAACTTATTCGACCATATCAAGTCAAATTTTGACCCTGAAATCTATCAAATTAAAATGGTTTTGTGTTAAGAAAGCAGATGCACCTTTGGATTTAAAGTGAAGAATCATGACATGATGCCACAAAAAATGGTATGGCTAAAAGTTATACCCAGGTATTATCTTGTTTGCTATGCAGCATAGGGTTCTGTGTGCAAATTAGCATTTTTTTTCTGTATTCTGTGTGTATATTTTATTTATCTGTATGGTTTCTAAAACATTCTCTATTATTCAATCATGTTTCATGCCGTTTATTTATGATTGCACTTCCACCTCCTAGTTGGAATATGAGTACATTTATTGATGAAGATTCATGCTCAAAAATCGAAGTAAGTCAATTAAGACTTCAAATTGCAGGAAAAAAGATTTGTGATTGCAGTTTTCACTTCGAAATATCTACCTACAAAACAAAAAAAAATACGTATTTTCACATAGAACGCTTTAGCACTTGGGGATAACCTTTAGCCTTACCCATCACTTTTATTTTATCAACCCTTAACAGAAAGCTTTTAATAATTCCCCTAGAGATTTACCGCTACGTAGTGTTCCAGTATGCTGACTTATGAATTTTTGTTTTGAACTCGAATATAAACTTGGCAGCTTACTGTAGTGATTTAGCAAGCCTGTTAGCTGATAGATTGATATGCACCCTACTAAGTTGTAACCTACTAATGATTTTGGTAGTCTTATACGAGGTTTAATTTAGTTGATAACCTAACTTTTAGTATTACTATAGGCCAGTGAAAATATGAATTTCTTAGTACAAAAGTTTAAACGAAAGTAAGTTTTTTATTGTTGAGATTAAATTTATTTGAACAGTCAGAATTAAACGAAGATTTCAAGTTTGGAGAAACTAAACTATACAAAACTATAATTTTGGATTATTGACTGAGAAATATTGTATAGCAGAGAGTAATAACTGTCTAAACAATTAATAAGATAACCACTTCTTATTTTACAAGGTATAAAAGTTAGTTAATTGTCTGTTAATTTGTTTTAGCATATCAAGGTAATAATTTACGCAAGCTGTTTATGGGAGAACCAAAACACATACTAGACAACTGAATGAATTATCTTATCATCTACTCTTGAAACTCAAACGAATAATGCACACAGAGTATGTTTTTATTTACTTACAGGATTTATGTAATGTTAGAAAAATGTTTTTCAAACCTTAATCTTAACTACAGTGGTATACAAGTCATTTCAAAAAACTTGAAGCCAAGTTCATTGCAAGTGCACTGTTGTTTCAGAGAATATTATAGCTGATGATAAAGAGATTTCAGTTTCCTGAGAATGATAATTCGATCATATGAGAAGTTGTTCTCTTAGGTCCTTCAACGTTGGAAACATTGTTTGTATACCTAAACTATGGTACATTACAATTGTAGCCTTATTGATGTGATGTTCGTATAGTGCGGTAATGCTACTTATATACTTCTAATTCTTTTCAGCCAAATAAATGTTGATAGCAACACAGCAAAAGACTTCCTTAACTGAAGCGATACTAGATGTCTGTTCGGTTTTGAATCATGCATTCAAGAAGTTAATGCATAAGCCATTTTCTTGAAATAAGTAGGTGAGTAATTAGGATAAATCAAAAACTTTCATACTAGTCAGTGGATAATGTACCACTCACTGTAAGATGTAAGATTCTCATCGTGATTCTATACTAGGTTGCAGATACGCACCACTTGAGAGGTTCTCAAGAATAATCGAGCAGTTTTCCTGTGGTTCTCAGTTTTCAGTTTCTCACTGCCTGGTTTTGATTCATAAGGGATACTCTGATAATCAATCACTTCTTAAGCTAACTTCCAACTGTTGCTTTATAATTTATGATGAAAGAAGGAGTTTCTACTAAGATAATTTTGAAATGATTGCTCAGGAACTAGTGTTTAATTCCCAATGAGTAGTAAACCAAAATTAACTTTCAAGCACAGCAAAAAAATATGGCTTTAGTGAATGATTTTCAATGAAAACTAAATAAAGCTTACTTTGTAGAAAATTCAGATGGTTTTCTTGTTCTATTCCAATCCAGTTGACTGCATAATGTTTGATATGCACGACTAACTAGAATAAAATGCGTTGTTGCTAATTCGTTATTGGGATTTTTATCCGGATGACAGCTTCTAGCCAGACGAAAATATGCTTTCCTTAAATCATGTATTGTAACATCTGTTTGAATTTGTAAAAGACGACAGAGTTGTTTAAATTCCTTCTCATTTATTCTATCACTATTCATTATTTTGTTTTGGTTTCTGTTGACTGATTTACTCAAGACATCGGTTGCTTTGATTTCAAAATTCTCATGAATTAGTACTATATTTCTGTTTTTCTTCTATGGATTTTAATTTAAAAAATAATCTTTGAAAACATCAACCTATTATGCTGCAGATATAATTCACCTCAATGAACTCAAAGGTCAAGCATTATTCGACCTAAAGTTCTTCGTTGAACAATAAAAATTGATATTTACCGAAATAATTTCAAAAAATGAAGTGGTTAGAGAACACTAATCGATGAAATAAGTAATCAATAAAAAATTGCTGTTTCCATTAGGCTTTTTATAACATTCATCAAAAATGTTAGTGTGAATTGAAATATTTCCGAGAATATGAACAGATGAAACAAATCTTTCGAATGCTTTAGGTGCTTCAATACCTTTAAATAAGCACTACCACAACTGCTTGAACTATCCTACTATTAAATATATATTTATTTGTACCTTGAGTTCCTAGTGGAACATAGAACTTCAGCATCACATCGCCAATTCACTCTCTTCTCTGCAGTCTTTTCAACCCGGCTCCACAACTGCCCACAAGCTTTCATTTCTTCCTCACATGATCTCCTCCATGTCACCCTCAGCTGGGATGCCCAACTCGTCGTTTCCCCTTTGGATTCCACTCGACGGCCTGACCTGACCTGACCTAACCTGGTACGTGATATACACAAACGGTTTTCTCAGTGTATGTCTAATCCAATCCATCTCCACTTTCCTGTGCATATTTGCTGGGGGACGGCTTCTTGGTTGGTTCGTTGAGAGTCAACCAGAGTTACTTGTTGCTTATTCGTATTATTCTGGCCATCTGATCTTGAGTATTGAGTGAGCATAGGTGGCAGCTGTTGATGATGTATGTCTGTAGTTTATTGGAAATGCTTTTCATGACGCTCCAAGTCTCTGAATGGACCATATGGAAGGACTGACTTGACTGAGATTAGTGTAGAAAATCCGGATGTTGTTCGCGCTTGATGCTGAGTGGAGTGCTGTGCATCTCCACACTGATTTCAGGTTAATGAAGGCCTGTCTTGCTGGCTTTCCGATCCTGGTTTTGAATTCCTCATCGGTGCCTCCGTCTCTGCCTGTAGTTGGAAGGATGCTGTCTAGGTGGTAGTTGAAAGATACAACTTCGTTTACATTTCTCCCGTTGATGGTGCATGGTGTTTGTTGTTGGTTGGGTATCTTCATCACCTCTGTCTTTTCTACGTTCATCTGAAGGCAGTCTCGTCTTTGCTGCCTCTTCTGTCCAGGTGTTGGTTTTCTCCTGCAGATCTCCGTGTTTATGCGGCACTAGACACAAATCGTCATCGGGGAAGTCGAAATCTTCCTCTGGGGTCTTCTCATCAGTCCAGCCAGCGTATGCTCATCTTCTTGCCCCTCACAGTTTGTTGCATGATCCAGTCGAGTCTAGTCGACCACAATCAGGAAGATTATCGGTGATAGTAGGCGGCAATCTTGTCTTACTCCTGTCCTCACTTCAAAGGCATCACTGAGCTTTCCATAGTGAATCACTTGGTGTGTAGCATCATATAGCGTATAGCTGCTGTTGAATGGGGTTGATGAATGTTTGTGTGACTGAAACCTTAGTGTTGAAGCAGCTGTCTGCCAAATTACTTGTCAGTCGATGCTGTCGAACGTCTTTTCAAAATCGATGAAGTTGTGGTGGAGAGTTGACAGCGATTCTATGCTCTGTTCTATGATGATGTTTAGCGTAGCGTTGCAATTTGATCCGCATACGATATTTATTTACGCAATTCACGCTATCTTCAACAAAGCGTTTTGTATATTCAAAGTTTTATTTTTTTCAGTGTACATGTGTATTTATCCATAAGATACAGTCTGTGATATTAGGCAGTAATTTTAAATTACGTAGTTGACTGGTTTGATTCCTGGAGAAAGATTTTTAATAAGCTTGGAGTAATTTTGATGTTTCTACAGATGTCACAATTGAGAGTACTCTGCCGCGTGCAGATGATTTCTATTAGATGTCAGGATGCGGCCATGAAGTGCATTATTATCTGTTTAAATTTTTTCCCATTCAGGACTCGATGGTTGGATATAAGTACAAAATAGTGCATTGATTTTTCTCTGATACTGGTAATCTTAGTTTTGTAAATATACACAGGGTTTATTCATGAGCTGTAATATACATCTATTTTTATGATTGAACCTTTATGTTACTGTTCTTATTGCAAAAGGTTTAGTTGTTAATTATTTGTGGAATGCTTAAGTTTATAATTTTGAATGCAGAGCATCTTTTAGTCTTCCCAGTATGATGCGGCTTAATATTTTGCTTGGTGTGGACTTGAGCATGATTCTGCGCTAGTTCTTGCAAAGAATTAGTTTTCCCTTCTTTGAGGGTTTGACAAGGTTGCCGTTCCTGCAGTCTGGAGGCACCTTCCTCCCGTCTAAACCTTCCACAGTAGTCGTGTGAGCATGTTCACTGTTGTCTTTGAGTCTGTTTTCAGTGCTTCTGGCAGAATTCTATCTGGCCCTGCTGCTTTCTCGGATTTCAGCAACTTTATGACTTTCAGGACTTCGACTTTTGTCAGAGGATTTGTGTTCACTGATAGTTCTCTGGTTGGGCTGCTGGTAGTATTTCTGGGTGAGTTTCAGGTGATGGTGGTGTTGATTGTCGATTCAAGCGTTTTCTGAAGTGGTCAGCTTATTGTTTGCTTTGTTTCTTCTCTTTGCTAACTAGCCTTCCTTCACTTGATTTCGTTGGTTTCATCTGCGTTGATCTCTTCCCGGATAGTAGCGTGGTTATTTAATGTAGTGTTGTCAGGTTTCTGTCTCTCCTATCAGCAGCAGCCTGTTTTGTTTCACTCGCTAATGTGTCGTAGAAGTGTCTTTTGTCTTTGCGCGCACTCTTTTTCACTTCTTTCCCCAGTGTAGTGTTTTATAGTTTGTGTTCAGTTTCTCTTTCCGTTGTTTATCCTTACACTGCACTGGTTCATCTTCTGCTTCACCATCTTCCTCTCCCTCCTGTGTTAGTTTCTATCTGTCCGTCGAGATCCATTCCACTCCTTGTCTTGTTTCCTCTTGCTTCTTAACACGGTCATGCAGGTTTCTTTTCCCGTAGCTTTCACAGAGTTCCAGTGTTCTTCCACACAGGTTTCTTCAGGGATGTTGCTCAATATCTCCCACTTTGTCCTGATGACTGACGTAAGGATATCCTTCGTAGTCTCGTCCTTCAGCTCACTTTCTGTTCTGGGTGTTCAGCTTCGACTGTGGTCGTCTATCACCAACTTCTTTGAAAACTTCCAACTTGGTTTTGTAGTTAGGTCCCTTGAAGTAGATAGTGAGTAGTGTAAACCTAAAGCTGCTCCCCTTCTTGATCTCATCTTGTGTCCAGTAAGCTGGCTGCGTCTCCACCTTATTCACATTGAGATGAAGTCGATCTGAATTCGATTTTTTCCTATCCACCTGCTGAAATCAACTTCATATCGTTGCCTTGTGAATGTCCTTGCGTTTGTACACACTGTCTGACTTTAATCATCAAATCGTTAAATGTGAAGAACTCTGCAAACAGTTCTCCATTCTCATTCATCATTTCCTCAAGTGCTTCTCAACCCACGATGAGTTCTCTTCCTGTGTTGTCTGCTTCGAGTTTGACATTCATGTCATCCATTAGAATTTTCATGTCGCCAACTGGTGTCTTGTCTAGTACTGATTGCAGATGTCTATAGAATTCCTCCTTCTCCTCATGATCTGCATTATTTGTAGGCGTGTAGCGTAGCATTGAATGATTGTGACTTTTCTTCCTTTTGAATTGAATCTTGCTGTCATGATCCTGATCCTGCAGGGGGAGTCTCATTACCACTGCATGAGAGAGAGCCTTCGATGTTCTTTGGAGACATCATGATAGGCACTCGAAAACTCAGTGTGCTCGCGGTTGTCGTGTCGCCTGGGTGACAATATCGGAGTAGATCATTGACTCCTCTCCAGTTGACAGTTTGGAGAGTCCACTTCCATCTGCTTTCTCAAATTCCTAACACATCAATGCTATACCTTCTCATCTCGTTTGCGATCTGGGCAGCATTGCTAGGTTCATACATGGTGCGGACATTCCATATCCCCATCCTCACTTTAGCTTTCATCGAGAGAGAAGACACATCGTCCGACTGGCTCCCCAAAGGTTTTCACCAACCGGCATCATTTCGTCTCTCCGATCCCAGCGAGGAATAGGTTTATTTTCATGTTTGATATTTTCTTCGTCCTTCGAAGTTTGTTTAGCAATTGGATTGGTTTTCCGGAGTAGGGTTGCTAGCAGTATGCCCAACCTTCCCTCTTTATTCGGGCTTAGGACTGGCTAGTAACTAGTGAACTAGTTAACCAAGCTATGTTAAGACAAACAGATCGATGTGCATGCATATAGCACACAACTCTCTTCGAACCTCGAACACGACCATAGGATCATGTACTGTCCCATCACCCTTGGTGATGTGGCAGCATATAGTCACATGAATACTATCAGAGTATCTGATAGGCTAGGTACCTGGGTCAAGCAATTATCGAATTTTTTTTTTGACATGAAGATTATACTGGCATGTCTTAGCACACCATATTTATATGCCATTGGTATGAGAAGTGACGTGATACCCATACATTTTGCATAAATAAACACACCGACTGTCTAAGCTTGATTATATATATATATATATATATATATATATATATATATATATATATATATATATATATATATATATATAGGGATATCTGGTAACGGTCCTTCCGCATGTTCTCTACGGAAACTTTGTTACGACTTTTACTTCCTCTAAATGGTCAAATTAGGTCGTCTTCTCAGGATCAGTGAAGCGGCAAGCCACTTCAACAACACCAATTCAACGACTTCACTAAACCATTCAATGAGTAATAGCGAACGGGCTTTAAATACATACAGAAAATGTATATATGTTGCGCAAAGTAATCTCGCTGCACATAAGGAGGATATCTACTGCTTGTACCTCATATTGTCAAGGTATGTTATCCA